AGAAGAGTGTGTGTGCGCGCTCACTTCGTTCGTGCGCGCACGCGCGCAGTCTCACTACAAACCGGTAGTAAAGGTAAGTAGAACCCATCCCCGGGATAAAGGTTGTGGCCTCAACCAAAACAGAGCATTTCATAGGTTGTTTATCCTTTATTGTCTAATTAAAAATTATTTTTAGAAGTCTACAACCGAAGTATATTTGTTACTATCTGGACTTAAGGAATGGGATTGGTGATTTAAGTAAAAATATCATATCTCTTCTAATTCAGCCACTGCACACAACTCTAATTTACAGTTTCATTATAGGAAATGGATTACTTTTTGATAACAAAAGCTGATCCAGAAAAAAAAAAATAAAAAGTAATACCAATTACTGAGTTTGTGTGCATTGCTTTTGCTTGTTACAATCACCTATGCAAAAGAAACATTATAGTAGAAGAAACATTTTTTTAATGTATTACTGGTTTCTCTATGCTGGGAATGTATGCCCATTTCTCCTACTTCCAGCTGTCATAATCGTTGCATCACACCTATCTCAGAATCAAGATGAGTCCTTTATGTCTCCTAGGAGCTGTCTCTTTCACACAAAAGATGGGTAGTCTATGGCAATTTCAAGGGTGATCTCAATGTCTTGAGTTTTTTGTCTGTTTATTTGTCTGCAATCAGCAGCAAAGCCCTCAAGATTTATATAAGAACTTGCTCTGATCTTGGATATGGTAGTTTTCCTCCTATGCCATAAAAGGAAGCTGCTCTCTGATGACAGGTTATGTTCTTTATGGAGGGGGCAAGATAGACCCTGAAGGGGAAGAAGAGCAAGTTGCCTCCTTGTAAATTCTCTTCCAGCTTTGATTAAGAACAGTTAATGTATTCTGTCCCCCCTGCCCCCCCATCATCCCTCTTTACATCTCTCCCTCCTGTTGTGAGGAGAGGAAATGTGCTTCCAGAAAAAGCTTTTATTGTATAGTCAGAATAAAGCATATCTCAAATATAGATTTTATTAAGGGGATGTTCAGGAAACATGCCTTTTTGCAATTTTGTCATATTCTGTTAGTTTAGTTCTCTCTTTTACCACAAAAATTATTTCTGAGGGAGGAAAGAGAGAATATCTATTTGATAGCTCTGTGGGATTTTCCCCAAAGCTCAATTAAAATGCTATCCGCCTGTCCTTGAGCCAGAAAAAAACTATGCCAGCATAAACATTGCTTTCCCCGTTGCTGATTGCTGTGCTACATCTAACCTCTGTTTTGGCTTTCCATTACACGTCGTCCTCAACTTATGATCATTTATTTAACAAATGTTTGAAGTTACAGTTTACAGCCAGGCCTGGCAATTAGGACCATCGCAGTATCCCTGTGGGTCACATGATCGATATTTGGGTGTTTGGCAACTGGCATGTATTTATGATGGTTGCAGCATCCCAAGGTCATATGTTTTCCAGTTGTGACATTCCCAGGGCGCTTTCAACAAGTTGGGGAAGGCCATGTGATTTACTTAAAGATTGCAGCAAAAAAAAAAAGGTCATAAAATCAGGCAAAACTCATATAATGACCACATCAATTAGCAATGCAAGTTCCAGTCCTAATTGTGGTTGTAACCAATCAAGATAGATGCAAAATATGTTAAACCCTTTATCTTTGCTATCCCCCCCCCACTTTCCTGAATGTCACCAACCATAAGTGTCCCCTGCATCCAGTGGTTTTTGTCAAAATGATGATGTGTATGCTGTGATGTCACGAGTTCTTCCACTCATGTACATATGTATGATGTACAAAAGGGATGGAATTTGTATCTTAACCGTTCTTTTGATTGTCAAGTTGCTATTATTATAAAATAATTCACAATATCCTCTTTGTCAAGCTCTGAAAGCTTCCTTGAACAAATTAGAAAGGCAGCATAGGCAAAAGGGAAGAAACTGTAGGAATAAAATAGTAATCAAGGAAAGAAATCAGAACATTGGACATAAATCTAACTTAATACTGATACAGCGCTAGAGCTGATTGCCAAGGACTGTGTGCACATGCCTGCATAAACACAATTTTCAGCACTGGGAATCTTGAGGAACAAATTGGATGAATGCTTGGCTACTAGATTAATTGAGCTGGTCTGTCAAGTCTGGCAGAAGCTCATTCCAGTGGAAGCTATTGACCAATTAAAACATCTTTCCTGATTAATCACTTGCCTTTAATAGAGCAGTCATCTAATTGACTGAATTTATGTACATTTGCATACAAGCCAAAGCTCAATAAACTGTACTTTTTTTAGATTTTAAAGGAAGCATGTACCATAAAATTATTAAAAAGGTATTGTGCAAATAGCATATTTAATATCTTGTATTTCATTCCATATGTAGCAATATAGCAGAATGAAAATAGACTTAAAATTAAACAAGCATTGTTAATGTAGAGCTCTGCTGATTAAAATTAATCAACCACTATTAATTAAGTAAAGTGCTTGTATATCAATTAAATTGGTTAAAATTTATAACTATGCTTCCAAATTCTACTTCCATGTTAGATGTTGGAATAAAACATTGATTTTCAGAATTGGTTCTGAAAACATTGGTTTTCAGAAAAATATTTTGGAAAGGTTTCTATTTATGGACTATAACAGTTCTTGTAAATAAGGGATGTTGAGGCTACATTCTGCCTTTGAGAAAGCATGCTGCAGATCATGTTCCAAATAATAAATGCAACTAGACAAAAAAATAGATAAAGAGGAGGAGCACATTTGATTGTATTCCATTTAAATTCAATAGTGAAAAAAGCAAGGTTCTACATTTAGGAAAGAAAAATAAAATGCCCAAGTACCGTATATGTGGTACCTTGCTCAATAGTAGTAACTGTGAGAGGGATCTTGGAGTCGTAGTGGACAACCATTTAGATATGAGCCAGCAGTGTGCAGCAGCTGCCAAAAAAGCAGCTGCTGCATAAACAGAGGGATAGAATCAAGATCACGTGAAGTGTTAATACCACTTTATAGTGCCTTGGTAAGGCCACACTTGGAATATTGCATTCAGTTTTGGTCGCCACGATGTAAAAAAGATGTGGAAACTCTAGAAAGAGTGCAGAGAAGAGCAACAAAGATGATTAAGGGACTGGAGGCTAAAACATATGAAGAACGGTTGCAGGAACTGGCTATGTCTAGTTTGATGAAGAGAAGGACTAGGGGAGACATGATAGCAGTGTTCCAATATCTCAGGGATTGCCATAAAGAAGAGGGAATCAAACTATTCTTCAAAGCACCTGAAGGTAGAACAAGAAGCAATGGGTGGAAACTAATCAAGGAGAGAAGCAACTTAGAACTAAGGAGAAATTTCCTCATAGTTAGAACAATTAATCAGTGGAACAACTTGCCTGCAGAAGTTGTGAATGCCCCAACGCTGGAAATTTTTTTTTATTAATTTTTTTTATTTATAAATACAGACTAAACAAAACAGTAAAACATACGAAACATATAAACATATAAACACAAATTCAAATATGCGTCCAGTTTATCGCAACCATAATATATATTCTTATTCGTATTTTGACTCCTCCTTATTTGGTCTTTCCCTTCTATCTATCTTTATAATTCTTTGTTGACCTATATTTGTAATTTGTTTTCCTCTTTCTATATTTGGTCATTCCATTTACTTCCTAATCCTTTTTCCCTTTTCTATCTTCCAACCAGGTATACCACTTTTCCCATACTAGATAGTAGTCATGTTCCTCCCTGTTTTGTAGTTCCTTTGTGAGTCTATCTAGTTCCGCACATTCCATGGTTTTGCTAATTACCTTATCTTCTGTCAGTATGTCACTATTTTTCCAATATTGTGCGTATAATATTCGTGCTGCTGTTATCATATGTATAATTAAGTATGTTGTTTCTTTTTCATATTGTCCATTTACTATTCCAAGTAGAAAGGTTCCGCTGGAAATTTTTAAGATGTTGGATAACCATTTATCTGAAGTGGTGTAGGGTTTCTTGCCTGGGCAGGGGGTTGGACTAGAAGACCTCCAAGGTCCCTTCCAACTCTGTTATTCTATTCTATTCTATTCTATTCTATTCTATTCTATTCTATTCTAAAACAATTTAAATAGATTAAGGTAGTAGGATCATTCCCTATATATTTATATTTTGTCATATCACAATCATTGTAAGATCATGGATTCACAATAACACCAAAGAGTAGAAAGTGATTTCAGTTCATTGCTACCATGGCAATCATGTGTTTGTCATAGGCTATCACTGGCCCTTGTGTACATGGCTATGTTTTAGATCTTGCAATCACCTTGGAGCAAATATATTGTTATGTATTTTGGGGGGACTTTTCCATCAGCTCATTGTCATGGACAGATCACTTCCTTGTGATAATGGCCTTGACTATGGCTGCCACCTTCTGAAGAAAGAACTTATTCAGATGGTCCACAACTGACATCTGATGGAGCCACAGAAATTCCTATTACCACATGGGGAGTTCTCAGCCATCTTTTGGCTGGTGTTTCTGTTAGATGCTTTTTTGACTATTGGAATACAGAGGCAACTGGGGCATTTCAGAAATCACATTTCTCCATTTGTCTTCCAGCCTTATTTTGTTATGAGGCTCGCTCTGCCATACCTTCTGCCTTCCAAATATGGAGGGCAAATTGAATGCTGTAAGAGCATCACTAGGTCTGGTTCTGTATTGATTGAGAGCAGTTTCTATTCCCAACAGGTTGTTGTGTTGCAGGGCTCGCTGTCATGCTTAATTTACAAAGAAGATGACAGATACAAACTAGAGATACAACCTTCTGCTGCCAACTCATATTTAATCCTGAGCAATTTTTCCTTCTCTTACAAAAGGAGGATTCCTTCTATAACAGAACAACAGCTGAACATTTGAGCTATATCAAAATGATGAGAGACAGTAACATGTTTAAGTCTATGTTTTGAGAATGTGATAAAAAATATCTGTCCTAATGTCTCATTTCTCTCTCTCTCTCTTTCTTCTGTCTCTCTCTCTTCCTCTCTGTTTGTGCTTTTAGACCCGAAGCTCTCGGCATTCACAGGGATCTCAGCCTGGCCTGGCTGATCAAGCCAAGCTTTCCTTTGCTTCAGCAGAATCTCTGGAAACCATGTCTGAAGCTGAACTGCCCATTGGGTTCAACAGAATGAATCGCTTTAGGCAAAGCCTGCCATTGTCTCGTTCCACCAGCCAAACAAAACTTCGGTCACCAGGTAAACTCTTTGTGCACTACAAAGTGCATGATCCTGGGCAGGAGATGTCATTTTTCTTTTAAATGAAAGCTGCTGTTGTGTTACCTTTTTTTTTTGCGTAGCACTCAAAGAGGATGTAATTAAATCTGTTTCTGTATAAGCACTTTTTTTCACTTACAGTGTATATAAGCATCTTAGATGAAGCAGTAGCATGTTCATTTCATTTCATTTATTTAGATTATTTGTATGGGCACTCATCTCACAACAGAATAATTTGATTTTGATTTTTGAAGAAAGGGCCTGGCATATTTTTAGGGGAGAAGGGTTAGGGTTAGGGTTAAAATATTGACATCCTTAGTTAAAAAGATATTGGATTATAAATGCAGGAAAGACCCTAACATTACTATAGATCCTTCTCTGGATCTTCTGACTTTTAGCCAACAGAGTCATTAGGCATTCTGTAAGAGATAATGAAAACTACATTTCATCATAACCAGCATGTTCCAGATTTGGAAAGGCTGTCTTAGAGAATGACTGCCAGAGAGAACAAGCAATGCTTGTTCTGCAAGGACACCAGTACTTTGAGTGAATTCAAAAAGTTTAGCTATATTAATTTACTTGCTCACAATTACTTTTATTAGCAACAACTTAGCTTCCAAACTTCACAAAACATTTTTTTAAAAAAATAAATAAATCTAGAAATCCAGGACAATCGAAGCATCAGTTAAAATCTTTGAATTAATAGAGTAGAAGAATCAGAATGTTATTACTCTTCAGTCTCCTGATTGTTGCTATATTCCTGATCATCTATTAATAACTTTAGCTTTTCTGTGAAAATGGTGAGATTGTGGAACTTCATACTCACACATCTCAAAATTTTGTCACTAATTGCATGTGCTACTAGTAGACACTAAAATAGAAATTGAATATTTAGCCATATATCTGACAGCACATAGTTCCATTTGTATTTGTGATTCTATTTTTTTCCCTTAAAATGTTGCTCTTAAAATATATTAGATTACAATTGCATAACAATCTAGAAGAGCTTTTTGGCAATGTTCTCTATACCTGAAACATGTAAAATTGAAGAAGATTATTTTATATTTTACCATTTATGCAATAAATTTACCATTATTAACAAGGGCCCTAGGGGATGGGGGAATGTGGAGATAGATTTCTGTGCAACTTCCAAAATTGAATTAACTAACCCATCCAATTAACCATGAGTTAACCATTGAAGTTTTACCATAAACTGATGCTGATTTGTTTGAGGAAAACGAACTTCCAACATCTATATAACAAATCCTGCAGGAGTCTGCAAAAACAGGGCTTCTCTAGGATTTCAGTCTCTGTGGCTGTTGCTTGTTTCAGTTTATCTCCCAAGCCACATGAAAATGTGTGGCTTGGGAGAGAAAAGACTGAAATTTTGAGAAGCGGGGTATGTTCCTCCAAGCCAGTCAGTGAAAGACCAATTCTGGTTCCACCACCATGGGTCACCTTTTTTGGTCTCCCCAACAGAAAAATGGGGGGAGGGGGAAGAGCCAAACATTGAAACGATACAGACTTCTTTTCAATTGCTGGAAATACTAAAAATAAAGTTACCATCTTTGCTTCCTGGGTCATGTGCTACCATTACACAAACGTGAAAGAATTGCTTGGGAGAGGGATTCACAGCCATGTCCTATGAATATATGTCCTATGGAATTTAAAATTTTATCAACAATTCCATCTTTGAACTGTTTCCTTCCTGCTCTATTATCTTTTCCTATTATTCTCCATTTCCTCAGGCATCCTTTTCCTGCAGTTTGGGGATGAGACAAGAAGGGTTCATATCACACATGAAATCAGCAGCATGGATACTCTGCATGCCCTCATTGTCCACATGTTCCCTCAGAAGTTGACAATGGGAATGCTCAAGTCCCCAAACACTGCCATTCTGATTAAAGACGAATCCCGCAATGTTTTCTATGAATTGGAGGATGTCAGGTATGTCTTGCTGTAGATATTAACTCCTGGTAGGAAATAACAGGGGGGACAGAATGTTCACTTCTGTATAAGAATGATCTCTGTTGAAAGGTCTTCTATCCATTAGTCCGATCCCTTGCTAAAGGAATCTCAAAAGATGGCTTTCAGTTTTTCTAGAAGATTTTCAGCAATGGAAAAATAGACCCTTTGCTCTATGATTCTGCTGCCAAATCCTTCTTTCCATCAAGAAGTTTCTCCTAATGTTTCTTTTCTCCTAATGTTTCTCCTCTAGAGCAGAAGAATTGTAGAAGGCTGGGCAGAGGATGAAAACAGAAATGTTACGTCTGTCAAAAAAATATCAAAATATATTTTAGGAAAATATTGATCAAATAAAGTCTGTGGCAACATACCTGGTTCATTGTATTTACCTCTAATGTTATCCCCCCCCCAATTCTAATCATCAAGAACACCAACTCCAGCATACTTACCTGGCAAAGGAGATGCCTTGATCATAAACTAGGAGGTTTTATTTGTTTACTATAACAATATGCTATCAGGAAATCATTCTTTGTTAAATCTGTCTGAACTATGGGCTATTGCCATATTTTCATGGCTCAGGGTTTTATACCTATGAGACTGCCTTCTTTGCATTGAAGGTGAGACTGAGATCAGGAAGAGAAGGCAAGCCTTCTTGGAAATGGCCTCCCTGATTTGGAACAGCATTCTCTTGGATATTTGGCAGTCGTCCTGCATCTTTTGAAAGACCATAAAGATTTGATCCTCCAGGAAAGTAAATAGGCTATGGAGGGGAGTTTTTTGGATTTTTTTTATTTTTATTTTTTAAAACACACAAATAAACATACAATACCTCTTTTTGGAACAGAGCATTGATCCGGTCATAAATTTGTTCAACTTTTTGTTCATCTTTAACAGAATTTTATATATTCTATTTTTGCCATAACACTTATCACATCTCAACTATTACCGTCTTATAGAAAGCTAACTCATAATCAAAGCAACTGCTTAATCAAAGCAATTACCCTTCTATTAATCCACTTTAAATCTTAATTCTATTAATATCTCATAATACATTTCACAATTCTTAACCCAAATACTCACTATTAAAAATACAATTCAAACATGTTTATATTTCTAAATCTTATTTCCATTTCTAGAACTTCCTTACATTTTATTATTACTTCATATAATATTCATTAAGTCTTTATTTAATTATTACTTCATCAAATTTAAATCTTATCTCTAAGGGCTATGGAGGTTTAACCCACCATTATGAGATGATGGGTCCTGGTTTTGGGAATTTTATAAGTTTACATTTTACCTTTGTTGTGGTGTTTTGTTCTATACGTGATTTACAGTCTATGGGAATGTAGCAACATAGAAGCCATTATTGTAGATAAATAATTCTTGCAGCAACTGATTCTGTTAGTAGAGTATTTCTTACGGAAAGAAACATTTTTCCTTGTGATCCAAAATCTATTGCCAATCAATTTAATTATTTAATGTCAAGTTCTATTGTTATGATTCTAGTGTTAGGAAACAGAGAAAAAAATGTCTCTAGACATTCTCTTTCTATTATGCATCATTGTTAAATATTTCTATCAAATTAGTCATCCTTGTTTTTATCACCCCCTTGAGGAACTTAGTATTTTTTCTTGCAAAGTATTTTTATCCAAGACTAGCGCTTTTTAATCTCTTTTTTGTAGCCCTCCTGTAGTGCTTCCTATAGCTTCTTTTCTTTTTTTACCTTTCCTCAACAACTCATTCAGGAAGAAAATAGATTTAGTTAATTGATAGCACTAGGACCGATTTTACAAGAAACACCACCCTTTGTAGATCTTCATGGTTCCTTTTATGTGAGCTTTGGCAATTCAGCCCGAATTTACAAGTAAGAAAGGAAGCCCACAGATGTAAAGGACCCATACAATGTTGACCCTAGATACAAATTTGACACACACACACACACCCAGAAATATTTGCTTGGACATGCTGCTGTATATCAAAGCAACAGATAACTGCAAAAAGGTATAAATTCTAAATCCTGATGTGATCTGCTTGAGGGCTTTTTGGAATGAACAGGAAACAGTGACACAGGAAAATGCCTTTATGCATCTGTCAATCTTGCTGCTATTACTGTGGTCAAGCATATTTTATGACCTGAAATAATAACCAAAGCTAATATGCATTTATCTCATGTGATTCTTTGGGCTTTGTACTTCCAGGGATATTCAGGACAGAAGTATTATCAAAATCTACCGGAAAGAGCCACTTTATGCCTCATTCCCTGGATCCCACATCACCAATGGTGACCTTCGGGTAAGAGCAAAGGATTGCACAGAGGCCATTCTGTTCTTTATTGGCAGTGCCACAGGAGATAAAATGGGCAATGTATTAAGAAACATTTCATTAATACCTGTGCTATGTTGCATGCAGACATACACTGACTTATAACTAGCATTGCAGTTCTGCAGATTTGCAGTCATAATCTTCCTCTAATGTTCAATGTACTCTAGCAGAAGATGGCAATTTCCTCCTTGTAGTTTGAGAGCTATAGATGTGCACTGGGATGATTATTTCCTCAGAAAGTAACTGAAAAATCCTACACTTCTAATCTAAGCATCTTCCCCACCCCTTCTTTTCTTCTTTCCTTTTTAGCAAAACTAAAATACTTGAACCAAATCTCTTAAGTAGAGAGGATCACTGGAAGATCTGTATTTCCCTTGAGCTTTAGATATTCAGATTTTTATTTTTTTTTACATCTCTCCACTGTGGGAACAATTTATATATCCCATAAAATTTTGCTTCTGAGGGATTCTAATTTAGTTCTGTAGTTCGGTTAAAAAAGAAAAAAAACTATAGGGAATCCTCTATTAATGGATGATGTCCATGAGGTTTGAAAAATTTAGGATGGGACTTGCATTTCTGTAGACCTGAATGCAAATTCATGTTATCCCACAATTTCCCACATATGATTAGTTTTAGAAAAGTAAGTACAAGCTATCCATCATTTGTAGTGAACAACCTAGTTTAGTAAGGAAAACAATTGCTTTGGAAGACCAGAAAGATGAAAAATTTTGGCAAGTTGCCAATGAATATTTCACTAGCATAAGCTAGTGAAAAAGAGTATGGAATGAATCAACAGTAAAAAAAACTGTAAGAAAGAAATGTGCAAAAGAAAGAGAGACAAAAAGAGAGAGAGATTTTCACCTATATACTGTGATAATGCGGAAAAGATTTATGACATTCTGAATTTCTCTGGCTTCTTATTGTTCTAGAGAGAGGTGGTCTATACTTCCAGAGAATCCTCTCCCACCCGGCGCCTAAACAGTATGTCTCCAGCTTCCCACCTTACTTCTGGCTCTCCTCCTCCAGTGCTCCAGTCATCCTCGCCTTCCCGTTCCCGTATGTCTTACAGTGGTGGGCGCCCACCCTCCTATGCTGGCAGTCCTGTGCATCACGGAGAGCGCCTCTCCAACCTCCCTCCAGCTCAGGGAGTCTCACCAAGTCCAAGTGCTATCTTGGAGCGCCGGGATGTCAAACCGGATGAAGACCTGGTGGGAAAAAATATGGTTCTGGTGAAGAATGAAGGCCTGTATGCTGATCCATATAGTATGGTGCATGAAGGACGTTTGAGCATTACATCTACTCAGTCACTGGCTGGGATGGGGGATCCATTTGCTTATCCTGGAGGGCTTTATAAGCGGGGCTCGGTGCGTTCTCTTAGCACCTATTCAGCTGCTGCCCTACAATCAGAACTGGAAGATAGTTTATATAAGCCCAATGCACAGATATACAGTGATACTTACGGCCCAGGAATGGGCTTCCGTTTGCCACCATCATCTCCCCAGAAAATAGCTGATGGCCGACTGGTGGATGTTCAGCAGAGCCAAAGTCCTCACAGCCCTTATTCAGGGCCTCCAAGTCGATCCTCACCAGTACGGCAGACTTTCCGCAAGGACTCTTGTTCCTCAGTGTTCATGGAAAGCCCTGTCAATAAACCACGGAATCTCAGTTCTTCAGGTGCTCCAGAACTATTCCCTGGACCTGGGGAACGACCTCATTCTGGATTCAGTTCACCTGTGCCTGCCAAGGATACTGAAACAAGGTAAAAAGATGAAGTGTATCATTTCTTGCTAACAATAGATGTACCATTATTAATAACACAGTGATCAGCAGCTTGAAATATTGGAAAGTTTGACCCTAAAATGCAGGCTTTCTTATTCTGAACTAAATTTGACAGGGTATAAAAATGACATTCCAGTCTCAGCAAATGAGAGTTCTACCCTATGATGCTGGTGCCACAAAAGAACCCAAGTGATTTTGGTTATTTTGTGCCAATATGTTAAAATAAACGTACATGGATTAGTAAACCGTTTGTTTGTACCTCATCACTCCTGCTGCTCCAGCCAAAATGACCATAGGAGTCATTTTGGCTGGAGCAGCAGGAGTGATGAGACACACTATGCATTTGAGCACATGATGCTTGACTAGTGCTTTTATAATCAATGATCAGGCACTATGAAGGATAATTGCCTACATGGGTCTAGCACTCTCATGTGAGACTACTAGAGCCTGATTGACAAGGCAGCTTGCACAATAGAGCACTCTGCTGGCTGAAGTGGTGTCCACTTGCCCATAGCCCCTTGTCAGCTCTTTTTCGACAAAGCAAAAAAAGACAGCAAGAACATGAGTAAGCAAAAGAACAAGGAAGCACAAAAGAGACAGATAAATGGGTGAAAAACAAAAGATTATACAAGGAAGAAGGGAGGGATTGAGAAAATATGCAAGAGAAATAAATCATCAGCAGTCTGCTTCCAAATAAAGCCAGAGAGATAGGTCCAGCTATCTGTCAAAATTAACCTCTTTCCTCAGTCTCACACCTTATTAAGGAGAGCAATTGGAAGTTGTTTTTCTTAGCAGCAGGAAATCCACCAATCATTTTCCATAATCAGTTCCATGTTAACTGTCAGAACAGAACCTCCCACTGCTGTCTCATTACCAAAGCAGAGCAGAGATCAGCTGTAAGACAATGCAAGTAATGTTGGCATACATTTATGTCTTCTTACGGACTGGAGGAAGACATATTAAACAGGCTTCCTGCTAATCATTCCTGCTGGTGATGAAAAAGTCTCTTGATCTAGGGCCTGGGTAAGGTCCTTCTTTTTGTATCCATCTTCTCTTCAGCTTTTCTCAGATAAGAAAACCAGTTGGAATAAAAAACGGGAAATAGCAAAATTACAAATGGTAGCTATTTTGATCCTCTGTAAAAATAAAATAAAATTGAGTGACACGAAGCAGTCACTCAAAGGAAATCAGGCAAAGGAAGACTTATTCCAAAGCATTCTGATAGTGGTATTTTCATTGTTGTTTTATTTTTTCCCCAGATCTGATTTGTTTATTGTTTCTTTTTTAATTTGCTATGTGCTTACATCAGCAGTAGATTAATCCAGTGTAACAAAGCAAAATACTGTTGCAGCATTCCGTCTTCTGTGTACCTTTATTTAGATTCCCATTCTTGCAAGCTCTGCCCTTATATTACTTGACAACTGAGTAGGTAGTCTGAATGGATACGCCTAATAATTACCTCTTACAGCATAATCCTATGTCTTCTTCAGAACTAAGTTCTACTCTATAATGAGGCTGACTGCTGAATAATTGCCAGTAGGATTGCTGAACAAATGTCAGATCTGTTGCAGGCATGATATCTTGGGTTCTTCCTTTTGCTTCTTTTGTTTCATTATATGCGAAAGAGGGTTATTTTGCTCATTTAAAAAGAAATAAATTAAAAATGGCAGGAAAATAGTTGTTATAGCTATCTCTTGTGGGAAGCTGAAATCAAACTTCAATTAAAAGATGCTACTCATGGGACAATTATCACCTATTTCCCAGCAGTAAGCAATAAAATGACTGAAAATCTGCAAGCAGGAAACTTTCAACAAAGAAGAGAAGGGGTTTTTACTGAATGGGTCTTATTGTTCAATTAAATGTTATAGAAAGCCCAAAGTCATTACTTGATAATATACTGTCTGACTCCCCAATTAATGTATCAAGACAACAATGGGCCTGCTTATAATCTGTCAAGCTTCCTGCCCTATCCTTTAAGGATTCTTTAATTTTATAATAATGGAAAGCTTTGCATCCTGCAGAGCAAAGCATCATTCCGAAGCATAGCTTGAGATTCCACTTGAATTTTTATTTTAGAAAATAAAGTGAGGATGGCTGCAATCCAGTATGCTTTTTTTAAATCTCCTGTAATGATAGAAAGGTGTTTTATGATTGGTAGTCCTTAAAATTTTTAGATATAGTCACTGCTCCCAAAGTTTTGATGACCCCTGAAATAGCGGGCTATAACATGTTTTGTAAAACCTTCATTTTTTTAATTTCAGTTTGTTGTGGTCTCAGTAGTACTGAAGGGCTGAAAAAGAATATTGGAATAACTGATCTTTGATATCACCAAAGCACTTAATCTATTCTCTCCCCATTTTTAACTTGTGTCTATATCTTTACCCATAATTTTCAGGACTCTGAAAGCAAATTAAACAACATAAGTTTGTGTGCCTTATCTCATGTTTAATCTTCCTCTGCCTACCTCTCCAGAAATAAGGATGGTTTCTCAGATAACTTGAGTTGTCAGGGGGAAATGTAAGAACAGAGATCATTAGGATAAGAAAAATACAGAAAAAAGAAATGGTTAGAAGCATCAAGAGGGAGGGGAAGTGAAAGGTAAACAGAACAGGTCAATAGAATCAAAGCCATAGTCCTATGATCAGAAGTTAATGAAGTGGAAAGTATGTGTGAGAAATTCCTCCTCAGTTCAAAACCTTGAAGAAAGGTTGCCTGAAGAGGCCCTTTGGGATGGACACTTGATGGAGACAGTGAGAGAAGCCAAAACACAATCACACTCTTAGTCTCATGCTGTCTCATTTCATTTCTGCCCTTCCCTTTTCAAAGTCAAATCAGGGAGCATGACCCCAAAGGGCACTGACCAACTGAAGGTATAGGATGCCTGAGTTTTACTAGCATAACAGTTGACCACACTAATTGGGTGACTGCTTGTGACTGAGAAAATAGATATGCTCATCAGGTTGTTAATGCAATTGAAAGTAGAGTGAAATAAAGGCTACAAAATCACTGACAAAAACTTGTCATACATATGACACTTTTTTCGAATAGCACATTACCTGATATACAGGGGTGGGATGGGAAAAACAGAATGAAGCACAATGGATTAGAATGTCACAGACCACCCTGTACAATATTCCTATGTAAAATCTGATTTGCTAAAGTACTAGCTCCTCTCTTCTTCAGGCCAAAATTTCCAACCTTGCTGTATAACTGCCCTGTAATTACAGGATTTTCATGTAAAGGGCATCAAGTGTTGAGAAAATACCTCATGCTGTCTTCCTTCCCAGAAGTATCTAGAAAGTCTTTATGGATTTATGCTGATTCCACAGAGCTGTTAGGCTCTTGATTTCCTGTCCTCAGGAAGCCTATTTTGGTCAATTGTTTCTTAGTTTTCACCATGGTATGAGGCTGTTACCCTCTGCAGAGCTTCAGAACATTACATGGACTTCCCTTAATTGCTTTTTAAAGTGTAATTTTCCAGATGTTTTACCTGGGATATGATATTGTTTCTTTGCTAATATTTTTTCTTGCTTTGGTGATTTTATACTTTTAGCTTCTTTATATTATTACAAACAAGCCTAGATTATCAAACTGAAAGACGCGTAGGAATGCTGTTTCAAAATTGAATACAAATAAATATACTGTATTCTTATGTTTACTCATATTGTCATAATACTAGGAAACAATGAAAAAAGCATATACTTGTCCTACTGCCTTGTCTGGATCTTTTTATATATACAGTCTTTCTCCCTCTTCCTCTCTCTTTTTATTAAGGGAGCGCATGGAAGCGATGGAAAAACAGATTGCCAGCCTCACAGGATTGGTACAGAGTGCATTAATGAGAAGCTCAGATGGAGAGACCCCCAGGTAAGAGGCTTGATGGGTGAAACTACATGACTTGCTGCTGTTCCCTTTGGCATTGAACGAGATGGTGAACTTCTCACCATCACTATTAATGCCTCCTTATCTTGATAAATGCAAAGCAGAAAGTTATTACCAGACTAGAGATACTTTCAACAATCCAAACAAACTGGCCAGGTTGTTTTTGTAGTGGATTAAAAAAAGAATGAAAGTCACTATGATATAAAGGTTAGTGTATGGGATTTTGGGCAAATCTCTGTTCAGTCATGAATTATAAGAGAGTGGCAAGATGCAGTTGAATTTATTTTAAGTGAAAAAACATGGATCTTTTGTGGTTGGTAACCCTAATTGCAGATGATGTTAAGGCAATAACTCTCGGCCAAATTTGCCCAATTTAACCAATCAGTCCATAGAGTTTCTTTTCCAATAACTATGAGACAAAACACCTTTTGCAAAGATTATCTACATATCTCCAAACTCATCCTTCCCACATTATATACCCTCTATTCCAAAGAAAATCACTACTGAGGATACCACTTCCTTTACTGCATCAATATCTTGTGAAGTACCATTGTATAGTAATCAGTTACCTTATCTTAAATTGTACTTAATTGGGATAATGGAATGGTTGTTATTGCTCCTCCTTTTAAAGAAATAGGACACTGCCAATCCATACTGGCGCCAAAAATTAAAATGAGAATGGGGTAATATAGTGAATACTGTATAGAGGATGGCCTTGAAAGAAAAGGAAGGGAAGGGAAGGACATTCAGACTTGCAAGATTTTATTACTATAATTCCAATTAAATCTTTAGGTTTCCATGGTCACTGTTTCTTAGTCTGATCTCCCTTATGGGGTGACAGATGAGATAAAAAATCGTTACTTTAGCATAAACTCCTACTATTTCTTCAAGTTTGGCAATGTACATATGCTTTCCTGCCCTTTTTGGAAAAACAGATCAACCACACAACATATTAATAAAAATCAAGTTTATTTTTAAAAAAGAAATAAAATGTAAATCTTACTTTTTAACATTATTAAAGTGCAAATATTTAGGATAAATAAGACAAAGTTTATGAGATAACATGAAAAAGAGACAAATAGATCATCTATTATCTACCATAAATTTTCTGTCAGGTTACATGATAGAAAATTCTAAATTAATATATACAGTAGTTTCCAGGAAAACTATAAAGAAAATTTTAGATCTTTGGGCCCACCCTGTAATAAGAAAAAAGGCTGAAAAGAACAAAAGTCAGTGAAGCTCAAATAATACTACATAGAAAAATAAAGATAAAAATTAACATAGTTTTATGCTCCTAGACTTATTTACCTATTCCTGAGATACAGTTTCCTGAAGCAAAAGCTCTCTGCTTGTTTCCTGGACTTTTCCACTTATTGTAATTTCAAACTTTAATCAAAAGCTCAGGAATATAATGTTAATTATTTCCTCTTTCTACCTCCACTACTCAGCTTTCAACTTTTCTATCTCTTGGGAGAAAGCTTTGTACATTACCCAGAGTCACATTGATTGAGTTGGGCAGCCTTATAAATCTAGTTAATAAATAAATAATAGAATTTTGTTCGCTCTGTGACCTGGAGCAGACATGTCTCACACCTAAAGACGTAAATTCTATGTCTGAGATGAATAAATGTGTTTTCTATATTTGGCATTACTGCGGACAGCCTAGAATATTATGAATGCAAGTAAGCTTCACTTTTAATCATATACACAAATCACACACTATTTACAGTATAATGATTTTTACTCCCATCTAAACATCTTAAACCTAGAAATGGTTTTGGAAAATCTATGTCTTGTTTGTCATTACAGTGAGAAAACTGAAGGGACCAATGGAGGAACACCTCCATCAGCACGTAAGTGAGCATTTGAAATCCCATCTGACGTATCCCAAGAAAAAGAAATCACCTTAGGTTCAAGAATGGAGCAGTAAAACCAGAAGTATAAATTCCAATTGTAGTTGCTGTTTTATCTGGAACAGGAGAATTATACTAAAAGTATTTTTATCTTGATATGTGGACTTTAGAGTTAGAAAGTTTTCATGAAAATCTCCCACCCTTCCATTTTATTCTTTTTGTTTTTGCTTTTCTGCTGTAAGTTATAGAAACCTGTATGCTTGTATTTTTCCACTTTTGCGGCTGTCTGGAACAAAATGGAAGCAAGAATTTGACTCCACTCTTGATTCAACTTCTTGATGATGCCCCATAGTTGAACAGATTTGAAGCATGATATTAAAAATGCAGTTTAAAGTGAGGGAACTTGTTCTTACCTTAAAAATAAATTGGCTTTGTTAGAAAGATAAACTGAGGTAAGATAGTTTCACATAACTATCAGGCCCTTCTGCATGCTGGTTTGAAAGAAAAGTATTAGATAAATGAGGGGAAGGCAATCAGTGGTGTGTTGCTACCAGTTCACCCCGGATCGGGCAAACCGGTAGCGGCAGCGGTGGGATGCTCTGCCCACCCACATGGACACTTCTGTGCATGCACAGGAGTGTTGCGCACACGAGCAAGCGAGCACACACCCACGAGTGAACCGGTAGCAACAGGTAGCAACCGCCCCTGAAGCCAATACTGAAATTCACAGCTCTCTGCATTCTTGGAGTTGCTGAAAAAATAACATTATCCAGACCAATTTGTGGTAAAAATTGAAGCCACTACTCATTAGTGTACTTTATTCATGCAGAGGGTATTACTCAAGATGTTGTCTTCTCTTTGATAGCAATTTTATAATGCTTTGAACTGAAAATTACAGAATTTGTATTTTTTACCCAAGCTTGATAAAGGATCTTAATGACATAATCCTCTTTTTTTCAATTTCCATGGATTATCATGCATTTCTGGTATTTTTTTCTGTTTCAGACCCAAGCAAGAGCAATGTAGGGACTCCAGTTCCCGGACCTCCACCCCCATCCACTACTAGTACGCCAGCTGGGCAGCCCACTGCTATCACTCGTCTGCACATGCAGCTACATCTCCATGACTTACAGCAGAATGCTAGTGAACTCCGCAACCAGCTGCACCAACTCAAGAAGCTGCAGGTAACCTGAATTGGAAGGAAGATTATGTTTTGCTCTTTTTCCAATGGAGGAGAAAATTTTAGAATATTATGTTGGTTCCATGAGGCTGAACCTTTTCTCCATGCATTAGAAATGATGTGTTTTGAAAGCAAATAATGCTTCATACTCAGAATTCAGAAGCCAGAGAGCGCTGAATCTGGTGCCCAGTTGTCATAGTATGCTCTGCATAACACCAGAAAACAAATAAATTAGGTGAAGCAGAAGCATTGCAAATTTGTTCAAATTACTCAATATAGACAGCTCTGTGGATTTAGCTTCACTTGATGGAGAATTTAGAGAAGCACTTGGAAATAAAATTATATTATTTGATGTAATCTTATCCTTCAGATAACACAAAATTGAAAGACCTAAACCAGAACTTATTTCTTCTTTAAAGAAAAAAAATAGTTTCTGGCTGAATTCCATAAGGAGTGAATTGATTTTAAGGTCGGCAAAAACTAATTGTGTCTCACTTTTCTGTTATAGAGAAAAGCAACAGTATTCATTCAGCAATCATAGATACCGAATTTTAGTACTGTCCATTCCTGTCTTCCTGCACACACACATTTTGACTCCATTTAATAAACTAACCTTTTCCTGCAATTTTCCATTGTTCCATTGAGGGAGAAAGGAAGGGGCACAAAGAACAAGGAAGAATGCAAATTAAATGTAGGTATAGAGGAACTCTATAGTTAAGCATTATCACATACACATTGCTCACAGAAAGTCTTAGTTTAATCCTTGGCATCAACTAAGAGTGCAAAAGGTTCTCTGTCTAAAACTTTGAAGTGTTGTTGCCAATCAATACTGACAGTAATGAGCCACATGGATCTGTTATCTAAATCCAGTTTGTTATTTTTCCATTTCTATTTGGGTTTCATTTAACTTAGTCATAAAATGGGATTTAATCCTAAAATCTTTCCTTGTCCTTCAGACACCATGAAAAATAAGATCTCTGCTCTCCCCACCTTGCCACAAGAGTTTGCCTTGCTATCTTTTTGCTCTCAATTTTGTTTCTCTTTTCTGTTGACATACATTCTCATTAGTCGTGCTCACCAAAACAAACTGCCTTGGTGCCAGGTGAGATTAATTTGGAGTCTGTGGCACCAAATAAAAGGGCAGATGGTAGCTGTGCATCCAGAGCCAGCAATCTGATCTTCCCTCCCAAACTGTGGGAGGTACTTGTGTTTTTTTCTCTGAGTTGCTTAACTCCAGAGATAATTAACAGTGACAGCTTGTTGGAAACTGGAAAGCAGCAAACAGTGCTGTGAGGTGGAAAGGCAAATGGCTCACACTCCCACATTTCTCCCAGATGCTTTGAAACTCTGCAACAGATTTGGTTTCCAGATTTGCCGTGGATGTCTTCTGTGGTGTCAATCATATGTAGTAACCTCATTCCAATGGGAGGGTTTGGACTGTGGCAAATTCATTCAACAAAGGGTGCTCCAGAGATAAATGAATTGGCATCCAATCCCACCAGACCCTGCTAGAATAGCCAATGGCAAGGGATTCATAACACATTGATCGGGCCATGTAAAATTCTATATGTAATCTGTATAGAAATAAATATTTCTAGAAGATCAATTTTGACTAACTGGTATCTTCTTTCATTACTTTGCAAATATAAGTAAAAGAAATCAAACTCTATGGAAAAGAGAAACAAAAAAAAAATAACTTGATTGCCAATTCAGAAGTATTATTAATGTTAGAAGAGATCACTAGAGTATTTTTAAAAATATTTCTTTTTAACTACTCTTTGGTTAAACATACAAGTCTAAATTGCAAAATGAAAATTCTAACCCTTTGAAGAATCATACATTCACTGACTTTGGACAGAAAACAAAAATGCATGTATACACATTGCATACTTCTAAAAGTAAAACAAATATTTAGTAATTAAATTTACACATCACCATCTCATCAGTAAAGTGACTCTGTAAACTTGTGTTATGAATTCAGATGTACATTTAGGTCCAATTCCTCATTTACTGGCTCCTTTACCACTAGTTTTACATTGTTTAGGAGAAAACAAAGTAACCAGAGGCCTTTTTAAATGCAGGTACATATAAACCCTTCTTAATTATGTAACTACGGTGATTCATATTGTGCAAATTCTATTGGGAAGAAGTAAGTGTATATGTTTGTCATGCAAATGAATTATTTTATCCATATTCAGCATCTGTTTAGGAGCGAAAATTTAATGGTGGACTGTGACAATGTCTACATAGTGTCCGTGAAGGAATTAGATATGCATCTATCTTTAAATTCCATAGTTATAAATTTTAACAGTTCCATCCTATACCAATGATTGATTGGTCCTGATTATTTATGGAAGAAACAGAGGCAATTGCTTTATCTGCTTTCCATTTTTCCAATTTTCCTTTAATAGTCTTAGCTATGACCATGGAAAGCTATCATTCAGCTAACCCTAGGAAGCCTTATCCTAAATCATAGCAAACTGTAGAAATAACAGAGGATTGCACAAATGCACACAATCAAACACACTCTGGCGGTTCCACAAAAAAATGCCTCACATGTTAGATTGTAGCATACAAGGACTCCTACATGCTACAGTATATAGTGACACTATGTGCACAAAATTTTTAGTCTGGCAAATTTGTGTGCAAAAGCAGTTTTGTTTGCTAGATCAAAGCAAGTAGTATTGAAACCAAACCAGAATCATTAAGAGAAGACACTTGATGATTCAGGAAAGTCTCAGATATGCTGCAGAAAAGTCTCTACACTTTTTTGTGCAATCCAATATAGTGTGGCTCTGATGACTGGAACAACTTAGTTGCATCTGATTATTTTCCTGTTGCTTTTCTTCCCCTTTTCTTCAGCTTCAAAATCAAGAAACAGTGAAGACCATGTTGCGACGGACAGAGACTGAAATCAGTGTGCGGGTGACCGACACCATGCGCAAACAGGAAGATCCCTTACAACGGCAGCGCACTCTGGTTGAAGAGGAACGCCTCCGCTACCTCAACGAGGAAGAACTCATAACTCAGCAGCTTAAGTGAGGATCCTGTAAAAATGTTCATATTTATCTAGGCCAAAGCTAGATAAACACGAAGAACTTGTTTGTCATGGCCTATGGGGGCTGGGGGAAGTGTCTCTGTATACTTCTGGTGGAAATGACATTTCAAGGTTAAGTATTCTGTGAGTGATATAACTTAATACCATAATGCACAGTTAGATTTAAGATTTACACTGCTGAGACAAGTAAAACATGGTTGGTTTGAAAATATATATCTTGCCCTTCAAGTATGCACCAGTCAGAATGGTAATCCGTTGTTTAATTTGGATGGAGAGACTGAGAAAGACTTTAGGGATTAAAAATATTTAATACCTTTTAAACCTAAACCGCTATAAGTATAAAGGTATAAAGGTGTGCATTATGGCAACATTCATAAGCAAAAGCTGTGATTGTGCAAGCAAAGCTCTGCCTACTTTTTACAAAAGTTGCAATGCACATAAAAGGGTCACGGCTTTGACTATGTAATTTTGGCCATCATCTTCATTCTCTTGAGTGTTCCATTTCAATTGGATGAGACATCAGAAAAAGTGAATTAAGCAGCCATTTTCTCTTATTTTTCTGTCTCTTCATCTTTTTCTTTCTCTCTCTCTCACACACACACACACATACACACATGTATACACTTTCCTTTCCCTTCTGCTCCTTCAACAGATTTCTGGAAAAGAATCAAATTACTTTTGTCAGATATCTGAACTACTTATTTCAAAAAGCTTTTGAAATTAGGCTGAGGGCTGTCTCAAATTAGGTCAAAGACCTTGAGTGATTCAAGTCTGGTGAAAATAATTCTGGAGGATTCATTCTGCTTCCTGACTTAAGTTCCTCTTTGTACACATCTATTTTATCATCCATATGAAACTACTGAATTTCTCTGGTTGTGAGGTATATTATGACAATGATACAATTCCTATCTTCCTCATTCCCCTTTTATCTTAGATAAACAGTTACTATACTGCTGAGGAAGTTGCTAGCTTCTGGATCTAATCATGCTGATGACTTTTGGGAATTTCTCAGTGTGGTGTCTTTTTTTTATTCATCAAATACATTTAACGTGAAGACCATGTTATAATGATTCTACATTACTTCCAAATCTGGGTTTTTAACCTTTCAAGTTGTACCTTTTTTGTTTCTTTAATGAAACTGAATCTTATTTCAGGGGTGGGGGAGTCCCCAATTTTTAAAATTAAAATACTTTCTAGGCATAACTGAAGATTTAGTCAATAGTTACATTTGTCTGCACATAATTCATTGCAGGTAAAAATGATTCTTTCTTATCAAACTGAGACTGATTCAGTCAATTTAAAAGCAGGTGAAGTTCTACGTTATTACAGTTCTATTTTGGTACCTTCCTGATTGCTTTCTACATCCCCAAATAACTCTGTCAAATGATTAAGATGTATAGTCTCTGGGGATTTTTAAAACTGGTTTATTACTTACTGGCTTGATTCCATGTTGTTTGTTGTTTATTTTAGTTTTTTTTAGCTTGTTCATACATATGGCCCAAAATAAATACAGATATATTTAAGCTAATTCATTCTAGTGGACTTGAATTTTTCATCATACTAATAAACACATTTACATATACATAAGAAGCCACTTGGATTGGTCCTACTTGTAACTTTCCGCAGGCAAGTGGCTATTTAAGAGTTTGTATGCAAGTTATACCACTAGCTTACCTCACGGAAAGAGAAAAGGTAGAAGATGAAGGCCAGTAGTCTGGAAATAATGAGAAATTAACTTTCTTACTACTGTTTTGTTTTCTATATCATTTGGAGAGAATGGCAACAGATGTCTTTTCCTTTCCTTTTCTCCCTGACCTCAGTGTATTGTCTTTGTATATCCACAGTGACTTGGAAAAATCGGTAGAGAAGATCCAGAAGGATTTGATGCATAATCACAGATTCATTTCCATACAAGAGCTGGAGGAGAAATCCCTGGTGCTCAAACAGTTGGGAGATACCTTGACAGAACTGAAGGGTGAGATGGGGCTGGGTTTGAGATCAGATAAATATAACAAAATTGGAAGACATCTATTCCATAGATGAGAAATCGTATGTGGTAACATTTGGTATCATATTTACCAAGTTCAACTATCTTATAGAACTATCATACAAACATCAGGAAAGGTCTAGCCCTCATATTCATTTTTGAAATTAAACTGAAAAATTTATAGGTAGGATATATTAAGATTATGCTATGATTTGGAATTAAAGGCAAAAATATGTTTTGGAGCATATATAAGTAGCATTTGTTTGCAGTTTCATAAATCAAGCACATCAAGCACAAGTATGCATGACAATTGCAGATGATGGCTCCACGATCCCAGGAAAACACATGGCTGCTTTTGTCTACTGATGGATGAATGTCCCTTTCTTGTTTACTCTTAGATTCATTCCAGTGTTTCTAATAATTAGTTCATATAATGTTCCATATTCAACAGTTGCTTGACTTGACTTTATTTTCCATATCATGCATATTTTCACAGCTCTTTACCCTTAATATTTATTAATGACACCTTCATATTAAAATAATGTCTAAGTTCTTTAAAAAGTAACAAACACATCAGCCCACATATTTCAAGTAGCCTTTTTTTAGAAACAAGGAAATTATATATTCTGTATGTAGTCTAGATTTTTCTTGAGTGCAAATTTATGAGAGATCTTTTACACTAATCGTTCTGACACTTGCAATATTTGTTACATAGATAATCTGGAAGCTATGGGTTTTCCAGGACATTAGTCATGACACTTATATTTTGAAGCTGGCTTAGACTAAAGACCTGCTAAATCCAATAATCCAACTGTGATCAAGCAAATATCCAAAGAATTTACTAGTAGATCTCATATACAATTTCTACAATTTGTGGTTAGTTCGAGCAATCAGAGATGTCCTGACATTAAAAATGAGGCAACATTTTAAGTTACTACGTGAGCATTGCATTAGATGGAAGTTTCTGGAAATTAATGCCTCATAAGAGATTCCCTTTTTCAGATGGTGAGTCAGTCTTCCTTCATTGCTTTTGAGGACTCTTCTGCTCATTCTCTTAAGTGGCCCCAGACCCTGGATTCTGCTCCAAAGTCCTGCATTCAGCCTTGCCAATAATTGTTGGTATATTTACAGTAGTTGTCAATATTCAGTTGTAAATGTTTACAATTATTCAATTGTAAATGTTTACAATTATCTTGTCCCAAAATATCATTTTAGATGTTTTGAACAAAATAAGGAGAAAGAAAGAATGTGAGAAATTTAATCATATTTTTATATTTGGTTGGAAATCAAAGAGAGAAAAAGATAAGGATCATTCATTTTGCTTTTTAGCTTTGCATGATCAGTATATCAAAAGAAATATAATAAGTTTCCTGCTAGAATATATTATGCATATCCTAAGTTACTTCAATAATATCCTAAATGATTTCAAAAACCCCTGTTTGCTGAACATTCTTATCATATTTCGTGCTTGTATTTTTTATATATCAATATTGATCCCTACCTTAAGAAGCATCAAGAGGCAAAAAGTAGATTGAATTTGTTATCTTTACAAGACTCAAGATAGGCGGAAAAGTAGACACAGTACCCAGGCAAAGGGCTGGACCTTTCCCTTATCTCCTTCCAGGACCTACATAATAGTATTGCATAAAGAAACAGTCTTTCTTTCAAAACCCGCCTTTCAGCATGATGGTCTTCCACGTAGAACTCTCATCAGCTTTATTTTATGCTCTCCAATTACTATTGGAGAAGTACTGTGCTTGCAATCCTATACATACATCACAAGGAGTAAGACCCATTTTTCTTTTTTATTGCATTTGTACTGGTTTGATTGCTGTGTGGATGTGTAGTATGGGTTTACAAGCTTTTCTCTATGCACCTGCTACCTGGAGACAATGCTTCTGTACTTCAAGCAATTGGATATCAGTTTTTAGTGCTGCTTAAAAAAAAAAATAGAGCCAACCCAATAATCCAGAGGGTAATATACTTTATTCTTTTCTGGTAAATGCCCAAAACATCAATACAATAGGATCAAGAGAGAGATTACAGAAAATCTTAAAGTTTTCCAAGAAATGTAAACAGCAACTATGCCTTTGATAAATTATCCAAATGTCAGTCTCATTTCCACCATTTCTAAATACTTCCCTCTCCCCTTTCACATTTTGAGTTGTAAATGTCAAAAAGCAGCTTGACAGCATTTTGTTTTCTAACATTTCTCACTGGGCCTTTTATTGTCAGTTTTGCCAAGTTTTTGACATTTACGTGGATAAATCAAAATAAAGGAAGGTGGTGCAGATATATTTCATGATGCACCAAAGAGTTCGTCTTGATAAGATATATCCCCAAGTATAGCCTTAGTAGTTTCTGGACCACTTTTTTCTTTATGCTGTGCTAGATTGGTGTATTTAGTATGGTTGTCAGCAATCCATATTGCTGATACCCTAAGTGTCTTTCTCCTTCCTTACATATCTTCCGTACCTATATCGTACCTGATTATTCTGTAAAACAAAAATACATGGTATTTATCCATCAACAGAACAGTTGTGACTTTGCAATCCTTTTTCATGCCCCTCATTCTGCAAAACACACTAGTGGTTATTTGGCTAAAATTGACTATTCGCAAGAGATGAAAGATGCTGGGATGGGTGTTTAGACAGTGTTTAGAAAGTCGCTGCTGTTTCATCTTTGCCAAGCAAAAACCAGGAAAAGCCCCATTTCTCACTCATCCTAAGCCTTACCAGTCTGCCCTCCTGCTTCCCTACTTGGCTCCATGCCCCCTATTGCCTTCAGATAAAAACCTTCTTTCAGCCTACTCTGACTCCCATGCTTCTTGTTTCCTTCTCTGTTCATTCCTGCCATTGCAGCTAATTTTCCCAGCCTGCAGAGCAAAATGCGTGTAGTTCTCCGTGTAGAGGTAGAGGCTGTGAAGTTCCTCAAAGAAGAGCCACATCGCCTGGATGGCTTATTCAAGCGGTGCAAGGCAGTGACTGACACCCTGACAGAAGTCCGCAAGTGAGTGAGCCCTTCCTGAATGAGAAAAAAAAAAACCCCTTGGGATCTGATAGGCTGGAGTATTAGCATTCCTGATAGATACTCTTAGCTATCTTGTAAATGTACTAGCATAGAATTTAAGTGTTGTTTTTCTGTCCCTTGTACATTGACTGGGACCAGATATATTTATTTTGCAAATGGAAATATACTGGGTGTCTGTGGCCATTCTCTGGGCTGTATAATTGGAAGGCTTATTTTAAGATTTGCATTTAGACCCCAGGCCCTCTTATCACTGGCTGGGGTTCTACTACCATCATCATCCCTATTACAATCCACCCATGATTGCTTCTTCCTGATGGTCACAGCTTCTCTTGTTCTCACTGATTTCAGAAACCAGTCATCATTCTGTTAATGCTGCTATTCATGCATACATGCACACAGATTCAAAAATAGCCCCTCCAGGCAGACAAACTACAATACATGGGAAGAACTATTTTTGTATATTGCTGTACCTACAAGCTTCTTTCTGAAACCCCTAACCTGCTTTTAACTCTTCTTGCCATTTTCCTGGTAGGCAAGTAGATGAAGGTGTCTGGGATTCCTCCAATAACCTTCTCAGCCAATCTCCAAAGAAGGTAGAGCTGGAAAGTGACTTCAGCAGAAGCCTGGATTTTGAGCTTCCCACCAGCCCTCCGACAAACCTCCATGACCTAACTTCCTCCACTGACAGCCTAGGCACAATCAGTTTTGGACAAAGCCAAGGGCAGAGCCACACATCCAAAAGTAGCAATCCATCCCGGGGTTCAGAGATGATTACTGCCAAGCCCCAAACAGGCTCTGAGACTCCCAGCAAAAAAAGTATGGACAGATCAGTGTCTGTGGAGGTGAGTGCAATTTATATACTTTGAGCACAAAAAAAGAAGAATGTTCCTGAATTTGCATTGTTGTTGAATTTGTGTTGTCCTTTGACAACTGATAGTCCTTGGACTGATTCAGGGTCTGATCTGGATTTCCAAAACCAGCCCAAAATATTTGGAAGTATAAAGGAAGCAATAATAAAAACTGTAATTGGAATCATGGAAAGCACCAGTTGAGAAAAGCTATTCCAGCAGCAAATGGTTTACAATCACTGGCGAGATTTCCACATTCTTCCACCTTCTCTTTCTTCCATGTAGATTTTTACCATAGAGTCAGACAAATATAGCTTCCATTTATAATCCTCTATTTTTCATTCCTCCTACCATCTAAAACTACAATATTAAGAAACAGAAAAATTATACATTAAATTCTCAAAATTGGGAGATACAATATATAAGGTTATGCATTTTATATGTATGTACTATATATTGTATGTGTACGTATATACATAGAAGAATTGTGTCTGAAGCCTGATGGACTTCATGACTCAGTTTTAAAAAATCTATTTTTCCCATCATTCCTAGCGGTTGAATCAAGCAGCACTTTTTGCAGACAACTTACCGTCCCCACCAGCTTCACAGGAATTGTAAAAAAATTTTTTTTTTCAGAATTAACTTCATATACAATAAACAATAATGCAGGAATACATCAGTATGTAGACTTCACAATACTCAGCTCTATTTCAATCTGTTCTGTTCTCATCATGGATTGAAATGTGCCTGTTCATAATTGGCCCATATGGAAAACAATGACAGGACTTCCTATATAAACATATATAGTAAAATACACATTTTTGTACCAACTCAATGATTTTCCCCGGCTCCTTAAACAACCATTTTGAGCAGGATGGTTTGGAATGTATTAGCAGAGAGACGAGAGAGTCTTAACTATTTCTGTTCTTAGTACCCAAGATAATGTTTCATTCCAATCAAACTGACAGTTTTCCTCTCACAAATTCAGGACTGCAAACACTCTCTTATATTGTTCCCTGGCAAGAAAGGTGTGCAAAATATCCAATCCGACCAATCGCTATTTAAAATTTTTACTGTCACAAGCACAGTATGATGTAAGATGGGCTGAGATACAAAGCAATCATATCAGTAGATAGATTGACCTTGTTAACTGCTGAATAGTAAGGATGGAAAGTAGAATTTTTCTTTTCTCATTCACTTCGTTTAAAAAAAACAGGGTTCTTTATTCATTGTCCTATTTTCTCAACCACAAAGAGACTTGGCACTTCTTGGGAATCCAGAATTTGTCAATAGAATGGGCCACATAATATTTATTTATTTATTTATTTTTATTTGTTTAAATTTCTATACCGCCCTTCTCCAAATAGGACTCAGGGCGGTGCACAGCCTAAGTAAAAACAAAGCATACAAAATTTAAAAAACAGTATTAAAATAATTAAATATTCTGGCCGTAAATTAAAACAACCCAATTTAAAATCAATTTAAAATTTAGCTCAAGCCAGCCCAGCTAGTTGAAATAAATAGGTTTTCAGGGCCCGACGAAAAATCCGGAGGTCTGTTATTATACGTAACTCTGGGGGAAGGTTATTCCAGAGGGTGGGCGCCGTCACAGAAAAGGCTCTCCCCCTGGGGGTCGCCAGCCGACATTATCTGGCGGACGGCACCCTGAGGAGGCCCACTCTGTGCAAGCGTACTGGCCGGTGGGAGGCTATTGGTGGCAGAAGGCGGTCTCGTAAGTACCCCGGCCCTAAGCCATGGAGCGCTTTAAAGGTGGTCACCAACACCTTGAAGCGCACCCGGAAGACCACCGGGAGCCAGTGCAGCTCGCGCAGGAGAGGTGTCACATGGGAGCGCCTCGTCGCCCCCATAATCCCCCGTGCGGCCGCGTTCTGGACCAGCTGGAGCCTCCGGGTGCACCCCAGGGGGAGCCCTATGTAGAGAGCGTTGCAGTAGTCCAGGCGGGAAGTGACTAGTGCCTGAGTGACTGTGCATAGAGAGTCCCGATCTAGAAAGGGGCGCAACTGGCGTATCAGGCGAACCTGATAAAAAGCCCCCCTGGCCACGGCCGTCAGATGGTCTTCTAGAGACAGCCGTGCGTCCAGGAGGACGCCCAAGTTGCGAGCCCTCTCCGTGGGGGCGAGTGATTCGCCCCCAATAGCCAGCGATGGCATCAGCTGGCTATATCGGGACGCTGGAAGCCACAGCCACTCGGTCTTGGAGGGGTTGAGTCGGAGCCTGTTTCTCCCCATCCAGGCCCGCACGGCCTCCAGGCACTGGGACATCACTTCAAGATCCCAACTGAACAGTATTGTAGAAAAGCCACATTGTAGTTAATACAAATCTATTTTACAGGCTGCAGAACGAGACTGGGAGGAAAAACGTGCAGCCTTGACCCAATACAGTGCTAAAGATATTAACCGGCTTCTGGAAGAGACCCAAGCTGAGCTGATGAAAGCCATCCCTGATTTGGAGTTTGCGGCCAAGCACAAGCAGTCTTCCAGCTGTGGTGGCAGTGGAAGTGTTGCCTCCACCCCAGAGCAGAAGCCTACCAAACCCCAGCATGCACAAAAGACCACAACCAAAATGGACCCCAATGGTCGCCGGGGATCAGGTAAGAAAGACACAAAATTGGGAACAGCTTGTAAGGAGAGGACAAACAGGATTGCGACACATTGAGGAGAGGGTTTGACCGGTTGCTTCCTGAACTGACATCATAATGAAAATCACTCCAGTGGAAGCATACTTTCTAGAGGAGAGAAATAGCTCCCTGACCTCATGCTCCATCTTGTTTTATCCATATACTTAACACTGACAAATAATGTTTTATTTAAAATGGAAACCGAGTCACAACTGAAACAGACAGAGAGACAGACGGTGGAAAATTACAAGAAACACATATGCCTTTTGGCTAATTCTTGACAGTATTTTAGGGACTATATGGATGATTTGGTGTAGGGGCAACTGTAGAAAATTTAATTAAGGTTTATGCAGTAACCATACATTTATAAACATAGGTCAGCATGTTTGAAGGCCTATCTTATAATACCTATAGAAAAACTTGGATAGTCCTTTGAGAAACAGTTTATCTTCAACCAGTATTTTGTTTATCAGCAACAGGAAAACATGTTGCAGATTTAATTGTGAGGAAAGTGTAACCTCAGGTGATTTGTCTCATTTTCTAATATTATTGTTATAACACTGGTAGCCTCATGTAATTCATCAGAAAAGGAATCCATATAGTTGGTTTAATTAATTGGGATTTGGGGAAATGATTTATTTTAATTTTTTGCAGGGAGGGATTGAATATTCCTATTCCCCTTAAAACCTAAGGGGAAGCTAGGGGAAAACTTAAGGAGAAGGGGAAAGAGAATATATCCTTTTTTCATTTTTTTTAAATGATCCAAAGTGCCACTTTCAACGTTTCTTTCCTTAGTTTTAAGTTGTTCCTTTAAAAAATGGTCTAACTATTACCCATGGTATGTACTCTGCATAATTCATGCTAATAATATTATCATTGTAGATGAGCTGACGGTGCCCAGATATCGTACAGAGAAGCCCTCCAAATCTCCCCCTCCTCCCCCACCCCGGCGAAGCTTCCCATCTTCTCATGGGCTTACAACCACCCGCACAGGAGAGGTGATCATCACCAGCAAAAAAGAATCCAGTTTCATGAAGGTACACAGACCATTTTCCCAATGAAGAAATATAGACCAGTAAAACCAAAGAGGATCCATTGGTTTAGCTTTGCTCGTGTCTTTCCATTTACACTTTTTCCTTTTTTGCTTTTATGATATCAGAAAGCTGAATCAGAAGAGCTGGAAACCCAAAAGCCTCAAGTGAAACTGAGAAGAACTGTATCTGAAGTTGCCAGGCCTGCTTCAACACCCCCCATCATTGCTTCTGCCATCAAAGATGATGATGAGGAAGATAGGATCATTGCTGAACTTGAGGTAGGATGGGAAAAGGGCATTAGACTAAAAGTAAGGTCTGAGGGTCTAGAGTTTTGCAAAGAAACAATTTTAACATTCAACAAATTCAGAGAAAAATCTCACCAGACTGGAAATTTGCAATTGGATTCATTATGCTGATAACTTTATGACTTAATCTCAGCAAATATATATGCTTCACCTATAGTCTTGATTGCTAGAGATTGTACTCCTCTGCTGTTGTATCTTTGATCAGGTACACAACTCCCAACTCTTCATACTTTGGAACAAGTTCAAAGCATTCTCTATTGAGTAATTATCTGGTTATTATTTTATTATTTATTTAAGTTGCTATTGTAGCAATCTTTCATAAGTGTTTATTGAATCTGCCTATATTTGTGTCACTAGGCAATAAGAACTGGACAATAAGAGTCAGGTCACTACATGTGGCATGCTAGTATGTGGTCTGGTTTGTACATTATATTAACGCAAATTCTCTGTAACTGCAGTTTATGGATTTGGAATGCAGATGAAGAAGAGGAAGGAGAATTTATCTTTTTTCCATGTGCATTTTATTTTAATGCTCCAAATTGCCCCCTCCAGTATTTCTCTCCTGCAGTTTCAAATATTTGTTTACTCTTACAACTGCATTTTTCAGGTTATTATCAGATATCAACTAAGTTTTATTAATACATTTATTAATATAGATAGATTTATGAGCACTCACAGACACTCATGAACACATTGCTTGTGCTGGTCTAAAACTGTAATAAACTGATTGACTGATACATTTCAACATTGACACAGGTTGTGAAACATTACATAAATCTGTTACGATATCATTATACAATAAGACAGACTTTCTCAGCCTGGTGCCTTAAAGCAGCAGTCCCTAACCTCTCCAACTTGGCGGCCCGACCCCGCACAGGTGTGGGTGTGTGACTGGCAGGCGCACACATGCACATACACACGTGAGTGAGCCCTCTTCACACGCATGCATTTGCCGCCCACTTATGCGAATGGACCTTCATGTGCATGCGCTTGCCTATCTCTCCCATGGTCCAAGTTAGAACAGGCTGCAGCTTGGTAGTGAGCCACAGCCCGGGCATTAGGGACCCCTGCCTTATGGTATGTTGCTCTTTAACTCCCCCATGGCCATTGACTGTATAGAATTAGTGAAAAAGAGACTGGATTTCCAATACATATGAAGGACATCAGGTTAGGAAAGGCTTCAGTAAAGAATCCATACTGATCAAGCAATGAATATCTTGCTGATTTTTCCATTGTCTACCTAAAGCCAGTTTGTATACTAATACTGTATAGTTTACTAGACAATTACTGATATTTTCAATAATATCTCTGCTGTTGAAAACTCAGTTTTATATAAGTCCTCTGAACTAGTTTGAGAATGTCTCCTAACAAGCATTGTGTTTATTTTTGTATATTTTCATATACAAACATTTATAAAAGATTTTATCGAACTCAGATTTATTTATATACTACAGTATTACACCAAGCTAACAAAATTGCACATATGCAGCTATCATATAGTTATTTTAAGGTGAATTATAAAAGTGATGGGAATGTCTGGAAAACATACCATATACAAAAGAATTTTTAAAAAATTATTAAATTATTGAAAGTACTTTTCCTTCCTTTATTGTCTAAAAAATTAATCCAGATATTGATAAGCTTCACATATCAGAAATCCATCACTGCAGAGATAGATGATAGATAGATAGATAGATAGATAGATAGATAGATAGATATAGATATAGATATAGATATAGATATAGATATAGATATAGATGATATAGATATAGATAAAATGTAATAGTTTTTTTAAGTTGAAACTCAATAGTTTACTGAATTTGCAGAAGAGATATTTGGAATAATATCAATAGTTCTATTTTAGAAGCACAAAGCTTATTGGGACCATATTTATCAAATCCATTGACCTAAAATTCAGTGGATGTGTATGATAGGTTAGTGGTTGTTTAACTTCCTTTTCTAGGGATTTAACTAACCATTACTTCTTTTTTATAAAAATATATACAAAAATACAAATTTATACAAATACTTTTCCAGGGTCCACTACAGCTATATAACCTAATCCCAATAAAATAAATTCCACAGTATCTACTGTGTCATCTGCTTACCACCTAGTAGTGATGCATTCAGGGAAGGGACCACTTAACAAATGTATGTAAGTTATTGTCAGATAATGCTGTTCACCTCATTTAAAAACTATGTATCAGTCATAGTTTTTACTTTAGCAAAGAATGAGATATCAGGAAATAATCTACCTGCCACCTTCACCCCCATCCCTACCCTGCAAAAAAGGCAAAACCACTTTCTGTACCAAGAAGGAAGAATAATGTAATTATGTTGGGGAAAAGTTTTGAAAAATCAAATATTTATTCGTTTGTGTTGACAAAAATAGTCCTGCAAGTTACAAATCCAGTAGTGAAATCTGGGGAGAGGGATAGTACATTTTACAAAGGAGATTAATTTTAAGAATTATAAAACCCAAGATTTATTAGATCCAATATTTTTTTCAGGTACTCCAGTTATTATATGATTGATTGACTTGAAATTCAACACTGAAAATGGAGATAATGTAGAGTAGTTTAATACAGATCAGCTTGAATTGAATCTGGATCTAAAAACAGTATGCAAAGAAATCATTCAATTTTGCGGGCAACCGAATAATAGAAAGTATTCTACTTAGATGATTCTGAATATTAGTTTTTAAAATATTAGCTAATTTGCAGATCAGTAAGAGGTACAGACCTGAAAACGAGGCCATTCTAACATTTCGTGTTTGGGGGTAAGAACACATGCAGACCTTCTGTGTCTAATCTATTAGCTACATATGACCATTAGCCCTATCTGTACTTTTGGCAGTATATATCACTATGATACATTATTTACATGGTTCTTTTATAGAATAATGACAAATTTCAGGCTTCCATGGCATAAGATTTGACAATAAAAAATAAGGAGAAAGATGAAAGCAAAGATAAATCAGGGAAATTTACCTTCAGTTCAGTTCTGTGAATAAGTGAAATTTAAGCAAAACCAAAAATAAGAGATTATGTCAAATCTTAGAGGATTTTTTTAAAGTGTTAGAAATATTCATTGTAGATAGATTTTGGCTGGGCCATGGTAAAGATGAATGAGCGAAATATTTCTATGTAGAAAAATAGTGTATTTTCTGAATATAGGATCAGAGAAAGGAATACATTTATCTCTGTTTCTTGTCTGAGAGTTTTCTAGAAGCATCTGGCTTAATATTAGATAGGCTACTTGTAGCAATACTTGTTGAAATTAATATTATTGTAACAACAACAACAACAGGCACCTGCTACATAATACCCCTGGACTTAACAGTTGTTGATAAGGAAGACAAAAAAGTCTGGATGTGGCAGTGCCTGGAGACAGCAGAATAGAAGAGAAAAAACTGGAGACGATAACAAAATTTGCCATATTTGCTTCTTATTACTGTGTTTCCCCGAAAATAAGACCCTATTTTATAAAGATTACAAATAGAAATAATTATGGCAAAGGCAAGCAAGGGTAGTATCAATAGTAATAGACATCTTGGGTGCAATCCCAAAACAACTGAGCACCACTTGAACACCATAGGCATTGACAAATTTGCCATCAGTCAATTGCAGAAGGCGTCTATACTTGAAACTGCTTCCATCCTGCGATGATAACTGTAACATCATCAAACATCCAGATTTGCCTATCCCAGGTCCTTGGTAAGGACTTGATAAGTAGACAAAAATGCCAAACCCAGTCTGAACATCTGGCTGACCGTGCCATGAAAATTAACAACAACAATAATAATAATTTGTTCAGTTGACTGAGTTTCATGTTTAATGAATAAAAGAAATAATAATAATAATAATAATAATAATAATAATAATAATAATAATAATAATTTTAAAAAATCATGGAAGGCTTACTGACTACTGGAAAGATCAAACTGGCCTACAAGAAAGACCAAATGAAGAACAGAATGGAGGCATGGAAGACTACATGGCCAGTACATTTTTAAAAAATAGCAGGGAAAGCAGATTAGAAGATAATAACATTATTATATTGCAGATCCATTAATATTAATGGCTTTTGAAAGAGTTTTACAATTAAAGAACATTTTTATTGGCTATAAATAAGAAATATAGAATTGCCAAAAGTATAGATTTGTTGGGAGCTAAAAGTGGCCTGAAATAAACTTTTTGCCATGTCTACTCAAACATTATTTTAAAATCAATATTTAAAGGATGGGCTAAAACCACTGTAAGAATTTGAGCCTTACTCTAAGAGGATTTCAGCTATAGATTAGAGAAACAAGTTGTTATTCACCAATTTCCATAACATAAAAAAGATATGTGCTGTTTTTTATTGTTGTATTTCCTTTCTAAAGGTCATGCATAAATGTGCTTTAAATTCAGGCAGAAGTCCTCATAACTTCATTATATATCATGTAAACTCTGATTATAGATATATTTTAAACAGCTACATTGAAATAGATAAAATAGGCAATGTAACTATGCCTTATGGCTGAATTATTGGTTATCAGGTTTGGAGTTCTTCTCTTCTTCAAAGCTCCATTTTAGGTTTAATTATTAAGTGTTCTTCCTTGAACCAGAATTAGGAATCCACAATTATTTTGATTTCTGTATGTAAAAAACAACCACCTTCCATGTTCTGACTTCCTCAGGTATTTCAGAGAAGCTCTTCATTTATTCCTAAGTTTCGTTGCGACCAACCTGTGCCAGCCACAGACATGTGGCCCAATGGGGCCACCATAACCACCAAAGGATGGAAGGTAACAGCTGTTGTTCAGATGGATTACAACTCCTTTCTTCTTTCCTTCTGACTGGTTACCCACTCTCTAACAGGGGTCCAATTCTTGTCTACAGCCTTTATTAATTCAGCTTCTTCTTTCTTTCTGTACATTAATCAACTAATGGCCTTCATGCTATTTCATCATTCTACTGACATAAAGTGGTGTGAATTATATTGATACAAAATTGAAAACCCACAGGATACTAAAAATATTGAACTGTTTCCAGGGGTACAAAAATTATTTGGGGAACTGGATATGAGTACAATTTGCCATATTTGCTTCTTATTACTGTGTTTCCCCAAAAATAAGACCCTATCCTATATTTTTTTGAACCCTGAAATAAGTGTTTGGCCTTATTGCCATGCACTCAAAAGCCCAATTGGGCTTATTATCAGGGGATGTCTTATTTTGGGGAAAACAGGGTAGTGAACTATATCTCACTCTTTTGTACTGAATTATATTTTCTTTGCTCTTGTAAATAAGAAAGATACTCTGATCAAAGTCACACCATTTAGTAAGCCTGGGTACTAATTCACACACTGAATGGTGCATTTATTCTGAACTCAGAATTGCTTCAACTCAACTATTGTCATGTTAGTTATGAGTTAACAACTTATTTTATCATCTTTGGAAATAAAAATATTATCATAGTTTAAAAATAATGAGCCACTTTATTGAATACAAAAAAATAAGTGATTTCTATTCCTATGCATCAGTCTTGAAACTGTTAGGTTTAAGAAATGCTATTCCTGCCTCTTGCCTAACTTACAAACTCATCTGAGATACTACGATAAAATGATATAGAGTTAAATTGAACAATGGGCTTCATTGGTATTCAGGGTACTTTCATTTGGGTTTGTGAATATTTTTCCCAGATCCCACCAACTGTGGCCATGATAGATTGTATCACTCACCTGTTATATGTATGAGTTACCTATTCCATTGTTTTGTTTTAGGAGGGGGGGGTCTGATGTTTGTTTGGGTCAAGTTGAGCCTGGATTGTATAGACCAATCAGTGCAAGGTAGACAACTGACAGTTCAGTGAACTCCGTGGGAACTAAAGATTGCAGAAAAGAATAAAGATCACTCAGTGTCTAATCTCTCTGAATATTACCAAGAATATTCCAGGGCTTCAAGGGGAAGTCATGATATAAAACTTACACATATACATCATAAAGTATGTAATTTGTTATTATGTATTTCTCAGCAACAGAAGGGAGGCCTGTTAAGGATCTTACTATATTTGTTTGCTTATCTTGGGTTAATAAATCTTGAGCTTGCTGTCTTCCACTGATGTTAATGGAAGTCTCCAACTATAGCAGTGTGAATGATGATTAGGGTCTCAAGGGAGGCTGGGGGTGATGGGGGGACAGAAAAAGCTAAACATTCTTCTGTCATGTAATTTCAGTTCTGAGTCTCACTCCCTCTCCCACACATTTTAAAAATTTGCAATAAACATGTGAAGTTTTTCAGCCTTAACATTAATGATACACCTCATTTGGTCCCAGGTTTAACACTTGGATATGAGAATCAGGTATTAAAACAAACAAAGAAAAAAGGAGCAATGCCTAACGATGATTGCCTCGTTGCATTGGATTTTGGAATAAGTTGTTATAAGAGTGGGGAAGTTTTGATTAAGGAAAGACTTTAAAATAGGGAACAGAAAGCTTTTACAGAAGAATTTAATTCCATGATGCTTTGTAAATCTTACAATGAAAGGAAAACCTGGAAAACTATCCCAATTAAATGTGTCTTTTCTCTGATGCTTATCCTAGGAAATTTGAAATGAATATATTGAAAATCAGGATAGGTCATTTGTCCTCCTTTGCTGGTATCAGTTTCTTATTTCTCCCATTGAGAAACATTAATATGAATAAATTAAATATGATAAATTAAAATCTGTTTCTTATGTGGACAGTTGGATATTATCATAATAAGGAGATGCAATCCAAAATGAAAATCCTTTATTTATGATAACTCTTTTCTTGCAGCATATATTTAAATACAAGATTTGATTCATGAGCCAATATAATAACATTACCTTTAGTGCCAAATTGTTTCCAATAATACATAATTGCTGTAATTCATACTTAGTTTCTGAATTCTGCCCTTTCAGTTTTCAAAATAGAATTATAATTAGCAAGTGTCTTGTCAAATCTACTAGTTTCTGACCTGGCTAAACTATAACATTATTTTAATTCTGCTGGCCCTCGCTCAACTTGCTAATTTTCTTCCCCAGCTTTTTTTTAAAAAAAACATTCTGAAAACTCATTCTAAAAACTGCATGGTTCTTTGTCATTTTCCTATAATTCCATACCAAATATCAAAGACATTGAATCTCCAGTCCATATGCTGAATCTGGAATATTAGTCGCCTCCATCTGGTCTTCAGGATTCAAGAATAATTCTTTCCCTGAAGCACTGAAGAACTATCACTTATATCATAGATGTTGATACCACTTTGAAGCAGTGCTTTGTTAGGGTTTTTGCTATCTCAACTCTTTCCCAAAAGGAAGTCTTGAAAGTTATTGAAGCCAATCCTCATAACCTGGTGGACATACAAGCAATGGCTTTATTTATTTATTTATTTATTTATTTATTTATTTATTTATTTATTTATTTATTAAATTTTTATACCGCCCCCTCTCCCGAAGGACTCGGGGCGGTGAACAGCCAAGATTAAAAAACATACAATAGAAACATTAAAATACATTTAAAACAAAATTAAATCCAAAATGGCTCCCCAATTTAAAACGCCTTACCCATAACCCTATAATTAAAACAAATTTAAAATTTCCACATTAAAAGGGGGAAGATTTAGGCCAGGCCAGCTTGATGAAATAGAAGAGTCTTAAGCGCGCGGCGGAAGGTGCGCAGATCCGGGATCCTCCGTATCTCCGGGGGGAGCTCGTTCCAGATCGTAGGTGCCCCCACAGAGAAGGCTCTCCCCCTAGGGGCCGACAGCCGACATTGTTTGGCCGACGGCACCTGGAGGAGCCCCTCTCTATGGGAGTGTACTGGCCAGTGGGAGGCTATTGGTGGTAGCAGGCGGTCCCGTAAATAACCAGGTCCTAAGCCATGGAGCGCTTTAAAGGTGATAACCAGAACCTTGAAGCACACCCAGAAGACCACCGGGAGCCAGTGCAGCTCGCACAGGAAAGGTGTTACATGGGAACTCCACGTCTTTGAAATACTCAGGACACCTTAAAGTGGTTCTGTCCACTTATTTATTATTGTTATTGAGTTTTGTTTTGGGAACATTAGGCTTTCAAGTTTAGCTTCATCTAAAATGTATTACTTACTCCATTCCAACCCCCACTCTCTGGTTCCTTATCTAGGGGCCTTCCAGATACATTGGACTATAGCTGGGGAAGGCTGATCTACTTCATATTTTCATAATCTGATTTCCATTAAAAATAAATTATTCTAATCACCTGATGTTCATGATGTTATGAGATAATTACATGTTTTTCATAGACTATGAGGCTATCCTTCACACGCAAACATTGTAGATAATTATTTGCAGGCAGAGCTATAACACATTTTGAAGATGCCAGATATGCTGCCTTATAGGTCCAATTTCACTAAGTCTTATAGCATAATATTTTTAAATATTCTTCAAAGGATGCCTAGAATGTGCTTGGTATCTTAAATACGTTATTCCTAGAGACCTTGGTTGACTGGAGCTTTTCAGCACTTCCCTGACTTTCGTGGAGGATGGGCTATCACATGAGTGAAACGTTCCTGGAAAGATGACTTGTGATCTGGACCAATTTTAAAATATTCTGGGCAAAAGAACAATTAGTCTAAATTCTAAGGGCATAAAATAGATTAAATGAAATGTATATACATATCTGTTTAAATTTTCAAACCCATAAATTTATATGGGTTAATAACTAAATAAATAATTCATTTTATAATTTAGTGTAATCACACTGAAATTTCCATGAAATAGAATTCATTTCTAATATTGTAGATGGCTTCATCTTCTGAGGATTCTTAAGATATTTTGGTTTTGAGAATGAAAAGTCTTCTTCTTACAGGTGACCCTAACTCTGCATCTCTCCCTTGTCTAATTTTCATTATATGTCTTCATTTTACACACAAGGGAAAGTCCAGGGAAATAATTCAAATCATTCATCTGCCATAAATAAGTTATTTATTGCATCACCTGTTAATTAAATTAGTCATTTCAATTTACAATTATAGATTTGCTGGTGGATAGTAAAATATAAATTTAAATAGGGAGAAATTCCAAGTGAGAAAATTGTCTAACGCCAACGCCAAACAAAAATATAGTATTGAAACTGGAAGTATAAATATACACATAAGGAAGAGTGTTTATTTTCTGCCTCTGGATTTTAGTTATAAATGAATAGAGATTAGGATCAGATAAAAAATACTGTAGAAAAATACAAAGAACTAAATGGGAAAATCCCCATCTATGTATGACCATGCTTCGTTTTATAGTAAGGAAAAGAGTATGTCTACATTATCTTTGGATTCTTCTCTTATTGTACTCTTACGTTCCTTATATTTGCTCATGTAAAGGTGAGGAAAAAGTATTTGACTTCAACAAAATGGCTGCTAAAAATTCCAAGTCCTTAATTGATGGCATATTGAAATGCTCTTTTGCCCTTTTCATGGAAGGATCACACAAAAGAAGATCTCTTTTTGCTGTAATTTTTGTTGACTCCTTCTTTTATTGGAAGGTTGAGGATATAGAGAAAGCAATCTAACCTTCTAGCTGCCTTTTCTATTAATAGGCTATTCTACTAGCAATCTTCATATAACTGGGACAAACTTCAGTGTCCCAGGTGTCCATGCACCACAATTCAGGTAAGCCTGCAAATTGTAAAGCAGGAGGATGTAGCCCAAGAAAATGCTGCAATTCAAGAAATAAAAAGTACCATAGAGTCTTTTATCATTTGCACCAAATTGTAGCACAAACATACCCTAGCAATTTTCCCCAGCTCTTTA